GTTGTTTCTTTCACTATGTATATATACCAATATACAAATAAATAAAGAAATGATGTTTACCTACGTAAAAAAAAAAAAAAAAAAAATAAAATCTTGCTATTAATTTTAAACTATTTAAACTTATTAATTTAATAAATAAAAAGCTTATATATATTTCAAAAATAATTAAAATATTTAGATATTTCAATTAAAACTTTTGTTTGAAATCCCAAAAAAAATATTGTATTCTTAGATTTCTTTTTTTAAATATTTTTTAATTTGATTTCTTTTTTTTTAATATTTTTATTAAAGCAAATATTGGATTGAAATAGCTTTAAACTAAAGTATTTTTTGTGCTATAAGTTTGTTATACTAATTAAAATTATAGATTTTTTATAAAAATTAGACTAAAAGCTTTTCTTGTATAAATTATTCTTGCTTTAATCTGTTTTTAACCTGCAATTGTTAAAAAAACTAAAGATTATATTTTTTATATAGCCTAATTAAATTTGATTAGAATCTGGGTGTTTAAGTATAATATTTGTAGAAAAACTGATAAATTTACAAATAAATAAAAAACTATTTTATTATTTTTTTTATCTAATAATTATATATATTAAAAAATAATTTTTTAAAGCTAATTTTTTTTATAATGTTAAAATATAAATTTGTTAATTAAATAATTTAAAAATTTTTTTGATTTTTTCTATTCTTTTTATATTAGAAGTTAATATTTCAAAATTTTCAAAAATCTTAAAATTCTAACTATAATGTATTTAAGTAATAATTGTTTTATAATATATACATATTTATTTGTTTTTTTTTACAAATACAAATGTTGTTATTTTTAAATTAAATTATATACAATATATATAACTTTATATTATTTATTAATCTTATAAAATTATTTAATCTGATTTTATTTTATTAAATATCCTATATACTTGACAGTTGTCATTTATTTACTTACAATAAAACAATAAATTAGGCATAGTTTAAGGTAAACACACACCAACTCAGTTTTAAATATAACCTAATTTAATAACTGCAAAGATCTTTATTTGAATGAAAGATAAATAATAAATGTTGGAAGAATTGCAATAGTTCTTTAATGTAATGGAATTGCAGTTCTCTCCTCTTCATTTTCCTCGGTTTGTATGGATAATTTCTCTGGCACTAATGTTGGAGACAAAACGTCATTTTCGTTTGATTCTTTTATTGTCAAAGGTTCTAATTTTAATTTCCCTTGGAATTCTTTGACCACTTCTTCGTC